GACGGAGGGAAGGAAATTCGGCAATGGGAGCGCGCCTTCCCCAAAATATTCAAAGTGGGTTCGGCGGTCGCCGCCGGCGCCCGCGTCTCCGCCGCCGGCGCCCGCCGCCCCGCCCGCAGCGCTGCCGGAGCGTCCGCGGTCAGCGCGCTCCAGGCCGTGATTGCGGTGCGTGGGCCGCCTGGGTCAGGCATTACCGGCCCGCCTGCCTCACGTGACCGCGCCGGGACCGCGGCGCTGCCAATCAGCCGGGTCATTATCCGCCAATGACAGGGAAGTCCTTCGCTGTCGGCTGGCGGCGCTGCGGTGTGCCCCGCGGCGCGCCGCCGGCGCTGCTGGCCCGGCCGGCTCGGCGAGACACCGCGAGCGATGAGGACGCACGCCGACGTTTTCAGCCGTGCGATGGGCGTTGGTGTGGAGCGGAGTCAGCCACGGCACTGGTCCGGGCGGAGCATTTGCGCCGCTCAAATAGAAAATGACTACATTGATGGAAGACGTTGAGACCTAGCGCAACTTAAAAGCCCGGCATGTATGGTGATAGAAGGTTCGTCAGCACGAAGAGGTGGGAAACCAATGTCGTCGGCAAGCCGACGCCGTAGTGTTGGCGCTTCTGGTCTTCCTGATAGCAGCCGACGGTAGCCGAACAGAACCCAGTTTGGGAATCAGCTTTTCGATGCTGCGAATGGAGATGAGCGAAATCAGGCCGATGAAAAGTAACTAAGTTATACAGACGACAGGAGCCCTGACAATAACGGAGAGCCTTCCGAGCAAACGGGAAAGCCCAACACCAACTTGAATGAGCCCTGGGCGGTTGAGAGTGTCGCAAAATTGTAAGTTATGATTCCCTGGCAACAGAGTAGAGCTTTCTGAATCAATGGAAAAACTATGGAGGGCCCTAAGCGATTGAAAGTGTCCCGCAGGTTAAAATATTAGGCCCCGGGAACAGCGTAAGGTGCACCCCTGATTTTCTAGGTCTTTTTTAATGGAAAGAACCCAAGACAGATGTGGAAGACCTATGAACCATATAGAGTGTGTTTCGGCAAATGAGCATAAAGGGCCCGTCGCAACAGCGTAGAGCCATGGACAGCGCAATGGGCCCTAAAACTTTACCTACGACTACGACTCCATCAGCTTTGAGTTCTTTGTGTTTGTTCCTGAGCCCTTCATCTTCGTATCCGCCAGTCCTGAGGCATCTAGGTGCCGAAAGACAATGTTCATTTTTCTGCTCTTTGTGTTCTGCTCCCTCGCCCCGTTTGGTTCCGCCATTGAACGATGCTGAACATGTGGATCAGAGGCAGATGAACGGTCCTATTGGAAACACTACGTGGTGTTAATTATTTCCGTCCAGAGTTGTATGCGGGCACGGGAACTTGTCATAAACACCAGCGACACCTGTGAGTTTTCGCGGAGTTTTGTCACGCAACGTGCTACCTGTACTGCAAGTGTGATTTTGCTCACACTAGGTATTGATGTAAGCCAGTGTGTTCCCGGGAGGCGGGCCGGGCAGTTCACCGATCACTGCTCCTCATCTGGTCCTCGAGGTTTGCCGTACTACTTCTCAGAGTTTTCGGGCAAAATTTGAGAACACTGCGCTGGTATTGTCATTCCATTTGCGATGCGTTTCACCATAGACTTGACTGCAGGGAACCACAAGGAAAAAACCATAAGTATTGGCACCGAAGCGCGCTTCGCGCCTTTAAGCGCCTTTAGAGCCAGGGCTTATTTGTACTGTTGGAACAGAATGGGCGGCGAAGTCCCCGAGAACGTCCAAGGCTTTATTCGATAGACCTGGGCATAAAAACAAATCGATCACGTGCCAGGGTCACCGTTCATTTGGCTCCACGTTGGATATAACTTTGGGTATAATTTAAACTGGTCTCCGTTCCTCGAAATCAACCTTGTGTACGTATTGTTAAGCGTGTAACGCTTCGGCAAGTTTTACTCGAAGTTATATGCGTATGCAATTCAAATAACAAAAAAGCAAGGAGCTCAGCTCTGATGGATATACCATTGGAGACCGGTTTCAAACAAATCCGCAAATCGAAACTGGCGACGTTTCGGACATAGGAGTGATGCTCACTAATCTAGGTTGAGGATGCAGGGTGCCCTGGGGCAAGACAAAAAAGAAAGAAACCAAAACACGCCGACCCGAAGCTGTTTTTTAACGTCGAACAATAGCCTGCCACGCGTTGCAGCTCTCTTTCTCTCTCAAAGTGTATCAACATATACGTTTCTTGTAAACAAATGACTTTGTGACAAATGACCCCCCATGTGCCTTGTGTCAATTCTGGCTACCGTTGCGTTTGTCAACGCTGCTATAGGCTTGTGGACCGTGCGTCGTGTCTGGGTAACGACACAGTTCTTCAATCCTTACATTATAATGAACTGCTTATTAAAGTGACTGCCGGCTTAGTCGATTGCCCCAAGTAAAGGCATGTACAGTCCAGTTTTGAGCCAGTTCGCCACACCTGTGCTATGTCGGTATGCGTGCACGGTAAACACTCGGTTGTTTGGCCGCTCATGAGCATTAATTTTTAATCGTTATTTCCGCAAGATAGTTGCTTTTTGGACCAATGGCGCGGAGCTAGACGCTAGACAACTTGTTTTGAGATGGAGAAAGGGCGTATTTTTTCTACACATTCAAATGGCCCGAGGTCTTATATTTCAACGCTTAGGGCGCGACCAGCAGATTAAGGGACAAGCCACCGCGTTTTCCCTTATGCACGCTATCGTGAGAGACTTTTTTGGGAAACATTATTTGAATTGAATTTTAATATTGCTGTTTGTGCGTTCAGATGTTAAGAGAAACAACACTCGTGATAAATAGTTTGCTACCACCCGTTTAACTACGTGCCTTCCTGATGGCTTACGTTGCAAAGGATGATTTGGTACTGGTGCCACGCCACCTATCGGTTCATATAGGGGTTTTCCATGAGCGTATGTACAACGTACAGATCGTTAGCTGTCTAGGCATGCATATGCACACAACGGTGCGTCATCCTTTTAATGGCATAGAAATGGAATGAAAAGGAATGCAAGGGCGATTCTAGCAAAAGTGGATAACTACACATGTACCGGCTTTTATAACGATGTTTTTTTGTATCCCGCATATTGACAACAGCGGTGGAAGCCATTGGAAAACCATGCGTCGGAACGAGCTGAAACGTTTCCTACAGGTGTTCGAACTCGCAGCTACGAAGTGCCAGTGAGTTCAGCGCAAAGGTGACAAGCAGAATGTTGAGCAAAGTTCAAAGCTGCCATGTAAAATGATATCCAATGGCCACATATTTTTCGGGCCTTATTTATGGGATCGAATCCAAACGGCAACTCAAAAGGAAGCCTGTGTGGTCTTCTACTTTGAATGTTTTAGTTCTAGCGGCCATTCGCTTCGCTCGGGAGTGTGAAACACGACATCAGTGAACGGATTTCCCGGTGAACTCTTAAAACACCAGATAACCGCACAATCGAGAACGAGATATGACACAATCCTTCACGGTCAGCCTCCACCCATGCGCCCGCGTTGTAACGATTCCCTCTGTCCCCGGCGCCGGCCCGAAGCCCTCGTACTCTCCGCGCCGTCTCTGGAGCGCGCGCCCCTACACGCGTCCTGCGCTAATACACGGGTTCGTGGACCTCCGAATCATTAATCATAGTCGGCCATGGGAGTTTCGGCATGAAAAATACAACGGGTGGCCGCGTAAATTGACGCGGCTGCGACCAGTGCCCACGCGGGCCTCCACTCGAGGCCCGGCGCCCGAGGCCTCCCGGCGCGCTCGCCACCGGCAGATGGCGTGATAGGCGCCGCGGACATGCGTGGAACCGATCGGAACAGGGGATAACGTAACGGGTCGTGACACCCACCGCCGGCCGATGGCATCGCCACACGAGGGGCCGGACCGGCGCCGAACCGCCGGCCGCGATCGGGGCTCGAGTGCGAGCGCGCAAGGCAGGGCGTTGTACAGGTCGGGCTGCGTGCATGCGACGTCAGGCGCAGGGAATCGATCAGCATAGGGCTCAGCTGGGCCTGGTTAACGCGACTTCGGGCGTGTCCACCATCGGCTTAGGTCGACGCGTCACGATTTCGCGCCCGTTCACGTGACTCGTGCATGTGAGCAGATTACAGGGCAAGAAGCTTGCGATCGCCCGGCGCTAGTGTATGGTTCCTAGCGCGTTGAAAAGGAGCACGCGACGCACCACGGCAGCCAGGGCGCCGGACCGGTCCGGGGCGGCCTCGCTAGTTGCGCCGCCGGCCGCTAGATGGCAGCGCTGACTCAAGGCCAGCGCCTCGAGCGGCTCAGGTGAGCAGCGGCCCGTAATTTGGAGAATGGTTTTTGTGTGATGCGGACATGCCGAAGCGTTACGCAAGATGTGCAGCGGCCCGGCCGCGGGGGTATCCTTGGCGGTGCGCGCGGGGAGAGGCGGCGCGGGCGCCAGCAGAGTGGTGCCGGAGACGGCAGGTGGCGCCTGCGCGCGCCGCGCGCGGAGACACGGCAAAATTGGCGGGAATCTCAGGTGAGAAGGCCGTGGTGCCGGGTGGCGGGTGCCAGGTGAGTGAAAACTGGAGGTTCACAGTATACACATTTGGATTCTTGTGCACATGATATGATGCATGCGTATGGATCTTGTGTATGAATTCCTGGTACCTGTGTCATTTAGAAGTGGCTCTAAGATGCACGATCCTCGAATCAATCGTGGAATTCAGACGGGGGTCTGGTTTCCTATTGCCTCAACTCGATGTCTAGCCCTCCCCTCAACTTAACGAAAAGATTGAGCCAAAGCCGGGGAGAAGCCGGTTTGTTCGACTGGTTTGTGGAATCTCGCGACATTTTTAACCGCTTAGCACCCGGCTCGATTTGTGAGATTACGCCTATGGAATCAGGCTCGAGTTTGAACTGCTGATGGTGACGCATAGCGCAACCAAGGCGCTCTGCATCATCTTTGCCGGGTTTCAAATTATCGTTGGACTTTGAAGCGTCTAAACACTTACGTTTGTTTTCTACAAGTGAGGCCTCTATTGTGTATTGTTACTTTGGGCACTGACATCATCAAGGACATTTCTCGCGTAGTTCCGGGTCCCCAACCAGTCTTGGCACTGTCGGCAGGCGCGATAACGTCTCGTGTTGCCTCACTAATCCCTCGGCCTCGGCATGGGCCAGCGTTGGACGCATCCAGTCCCGTTGTTTTCCAACGTGCCCAGCAGCCCCGTCCTGTTCACATCCGGAACCGTCGCTGTTCGCGGCTGTTCCTCGAACGAAGACCTCAGAACACTTGTGGCCAGTCAGCAACGCCGGACCTGCGAAAGCGGTCACGGTGAGGTCCGGTCAGGGACGTGGCCAATGGGAAGCCATCGGGTCCATGTTTTCCCTCACGTTCCACATGGTTCCCTGGAGTAGGCTTCGATCCTATGGCTTCAGCGGTTTGGGCTATCTGGAACGTCATGTTGGGTCCAGCGTAGCACCGGTCGGACCCCCGGGGTTCACGTCCTGGTGACGCCCCTGGCGTTCGTGCCAAGGCGTCGGCAGAGCGTCAACATTCGACAGGCGGGTGTCGGCCTGTGCCATCACCTGTGCAGGTCGATTCCCCGACATCACAGCGGCAGCCTGCAGCCGCGCCCGTCAGGGGCGTCACAGCAGTGGAGGCGCCGGGGGAGCGGCGTGCGTTCGTTTCCTTCAGACCCACCTCGCCTCCGTCCATCGGCCTGTCCGCCCGGCTGTCGGCTCCCCCGTCGCCGCTCCCTGACGACGCCCCTGGCGGCGGCGCCCGGCTATATGACACACCGCAGCGACGGCGGCGTACATCTGATCTGACGTCATGACGGCAGGTCGGCCGACCTTCGCCGCGCCGGGACCCGGACCATTGTCTGACATTTTTGAGCTGGCGAGGCCGGCCGCCGCATGGCCCGTCGCTGGAGAACAGGTTCGGGCCGGAGACTGCGGGCGGCCGCCGTCGCGCCGACGCACTACCGGGGCCTGGGGGCACCCACGTCGACCTACGAGGACCACCTTTTGAATGGACTTTGCGTGGTCTCCTACTCTTACGGGGATGTATCGGATGGCGGCCCCCATGAAGTCTTCGGCGAGGGGTTCGATGGGTGACCGGCTGCATATGGTGTCTCCCACGTGACAAAGCATAGACATGCTGGCTTCACAGCTGGGGACCGGTTCTGATTTGGGTCAACGCCTTGAAACCAATGGCATGGACAGCTGGTCACATGATTGTGACCTCCGTCTATCCACGGGGCTGAAATGACGATATCATACAGTAAGGATTATCCGTGTGCAGATGACGGTCGGGAGCCGGGTCTTACGAGTTACCTTACCACGAAATGTTGGAAGCCGCGGACCAGTTTGCTCCAACAATGGTTGTGCAAGTAAATCCCTTCCGACATTGTATCCGGCATTGATCACACGCATGAGCGACGAACGTCCCTGACCGGATTACGCCAGCGGTCGCGTCCCCATTCTCGGCTCTGGCGCCATCCCTCGTACGCGACTTCACTTGCAAAGTCAGAGGCGGTGGCAGCGGTAAGTTGTGGAGTCGAGAGCTGTTCAGTGCAGGTGTCGCCGTTTTCCCGGCGATTCTGCTCCACAATCTGCCTCGGGCTCTGAAGGGATACCACATCCCACCACGGGCTCATGCTGGCCAGCACAGCCCACCATCGACTTGGGCAGTGCACCGCAGCCTTTCACGGGCTCCTGTGGGCCACAGCCCACCATCGGCTCCGTCTGGCCCCCGCAACCCACCATCGGCTCCGCCTGGCTCCCGCAGCCCACCATCGGCTCCGTCTGGCCCCCGCAGCCCACCATCGGCTCCGTCTGGCCTCCGCAGCCCACCATCGGTTCCGTCTGGCCCCCGCGGCCCACCGGAGCGACGGTGCCGCGCCGCAGCCCGGCGGGGTGGCGGGCGGGCCCCGTGGCCGACCACGCGGCGCCAGCGCCGGCGATCGCGACCGATCGATCGTTCTGCTGGCTCGCCCGTGTCCGCCATACAGGGTGGGGCCGCAGCCACATACCGCGCGCAGAGCGGCCGCCGGGAATGCAGGGCGCAGCGTGGCCGGCCACGCCACGCCGATGATCGGCAGTTTGGCCGCGCGGACGCCGTGACGCGGCGGTTTCGGCGCGGCCCGACGGTCGCCGCGGTTCTGCTTTGTTGGCGGCGTGGCCGTGCCGAGCCGCCTGCTTTAAATCTGTCGGCAATTATTTCAGGCTTCGACCGCCGCCATTATCGAAGCGTCGGTCGTCATTGTTTGGTCTCCTCGGCTTGTCTAAATGTCATTAGTGTCATCCGGGCGTTGTCCGCAGTGCCCACGGACAAAGTGCCGCGCACAGTGTAATGCGAGCAATCATGAGCCATTGGAATCGTAACGACTGCGGCGCGGCGACCCTGAGTTTCCCAAACTCCGCGAGGCCGGCGCCGTTCGGGCCCATTTGAAGCGGGCGCGGCTCGCCTTTGTTCGGCAGGCGGCGCGGGCGCGCGGCCGACCGCCGACGCCGCGCCCCCTAATGTCCTGCGTAGCGCGCTCTGCTGACCTCGGCGCCGGCAGGGGCGCGGCCAGGTCAGGGAAGAGCGGGGCGTCGTCGCCGCGTGGGAAGCGCTCTCTGTGACCGATAATGCGGATAATTGCGGTAATTGGCGGGCGCGGCGGCTGTGGCGACGGCGCCCCCCAGGTGTGGTGTCTGAGTGCGCCGCTGTCACCCGTCCTGAGAGAGTTCTCAGCGCCGAGCGAGACGGCCTCACCGACGGCGGCCGCTGCCGGAGCCGTGCGGTTCGAAATTATCCGGCCGTTGACGGCGCCTCCATGCATAATAGCGCGGCGTGCCCTGCGGCACAGTCGCGCTGCGGCGCCAGGGGCCGCGGCGGCCGGCCCACACCTGTAATTACCGACGATGGCCGCGATTTGGCCGGCGCTTATCTTGGCGACAGCGCATGTCGTGCATAGCATGCACCGCCGACACAGGCGCGGGGTTTATCGATCGGAGGCGGCGACTGTCGGCTATTGGAGCCGCCGGTGGAGCGCGCGCTGCGTGGTGACGCCGGCGGCAGTGGGCCGCCGCCTGCCAACTTTGCGCCGCGCCAACCTCGCCTCACGAGTAACTAGTTATTACACCAGGGTGAAGAATAAGTCTTGAAATCTTCCAATAAACCATCGGCTGGCCTTCAGTGTTCGACAACGGCGCGTCGGGTGCGGGGCGTCCGGCGGTCGGCGCGGCGCGCGCTGGGCCACGGCGCCAGCCCGCGCCGGGCACGTGGGGAAACGTGTGCTGCCGGCTCCTCCTCAATCTCACCCCTCCCAGCGCCGGTGAGTAGAAAGTTGATTATCATACGATCGGTGATAGGACGGATGCCATGACGCGCGCACGCACCAAAGGCGGCAGGGCCGGCCGTTGCGTGCGGCGCTCCAGTGCGTCGTCGGCACCGGCGCCCGCTTGACCTCTTCGGCCCAATCGGCACATGATTGTTTTTGTTTGCAGGCGTGCGTAGCCTAGCGACGCGCAATTACGGAGACATCTGCTGGCGTTCCCGCATAGAGAACGAGACGTGCCGCCGCGTGTCGAACCATCGGACCTCCAGTTCACCGTCAGAAGCTCGCCGGGCCAGTTGTCTCGCCAATGGCTCGCACGCTCGCCTCCGCCGCACCGCCGCCGCCCGCCGTCCTGCCGGTGACGTCACTGAAGTCAGCTGGCCCGCTTCCCCAGCCCAGTATCGTAACCTACCCTGTGGATCCGGGCTTTTGTAGCTATACTCAGAAGCTCGACTCTACAGGTATCTTACGGTCAGGGCCGATCAACGCCGAGGCTGGATCGTCGCAGCGCGGTATCGTGGAGTTAACACGGTTCAGTGAGGTTCATATATACTGAAGAAACCTCAACAGCTCAGCCAAGCTCGTATATTCGGACGTGAGATAGAAGGCGATCATGATTGTGAGAGGTGGAAGTAGTCATATTCCTGGGTTAAGCCATGTGTATATTTCTCGCCGAGCGATTCTGGTCTTTCAGGAGCGTCTTTATATTATATATATATATATATATATATATATATATATATATATATATACGTTCTCGCAGAGATGGCACTTCCGGATCAATGCTCCTCAGAGGCACTCCTGTTTTACCGGAATGCAGGCTACGGTGCTCCCTTTGAGAAACACGCGTGCTCCAGTGCCCAGGGACCAACCGACGCGCCACTCTACCTTGAAGCTCCACTTTCCCGCTTTCCACACGGACACCGACGGACGCAACGCAGGCGTTTCACACCGTGGCAAGCCACACGCTGGTCGACCGCCGACTCCGCGCGGTCGGAAACGGCGGGAAGGGCACCAAGCGTCAGCTGACCACCGGGAGGCGACGAGACGCCGCGTGGCGTCAGACTCGAGGGTCGGACAATGGGCAGTCCATGTCCAGTCCACGCCCGAGCGTCACACACGCTCCATGTCGGAGTCGTCGACGTCTCGGCGGAGTTTCCAGACAGCATGCAAATCCGGCCGGCGGCTGAGCAGTTTGATTGGCGTGTTTGTTCTCGCGGACGGGGCTCATGAAATGTGCATGAGACTGTGGAATAAACAGGAATAATCTCGCCACTGGCTCCGGTGCATTGGAATGCATTTACACGTCTTTCGAACAAAGCGGCTCGAGGAGCAGCACAGAAGAACAGATGCTTATCTCACGGCCTGACAGGCGGATGTGCCCTGAGGTCTATGAATAACCATGAGAGCTCCACCGCACATGCGGGTTGCACGGGCCCACAAGCTGGTCAGGCGTTGCGGGCATTGTACCAGGAATATCACTTCCCGGGTCTATGACCCGACCCAGACCAAAGCGAAGCACCGCGCGTCAAAATAAACCGCAACCTTATTCTTATTCAGTCGTCTCACTCAAACGAATAACAGGAGCAAGGCTTCACCAGACACAGCTGCAAGCGGTGTGGAGAGATCCCTTCACAGCTGGGGGAGCCCCCACCCCTCCGCCCCGCTCCTTCCCGAAATTGGCCGTCAGTCCCGTCAACGGTGAATATGAAACAGGTCAAATCGGACGAGAAATCCCCATTTTATATATTAGAATGCGCCACATTTTCTCAGTCACTTCAGCTTACTTACACAGCCCCCCCCCCTCGGCCAGCAGCTTGACCTCTCAGAATCCTGTGCCGCTCAGCAGCACCATCGGCCCAGCGCGGAGGACCAGCGCCGGATTCCAGGCCGGCTCGCTGGCGGCGGCTCGGCCCCGGCGGCCAGGAGGAGGCCGGAAACGCTGAACGAGGCCGCCCCAGGTACGGCCGACAGATGGCGGACGGACCGACCCGGCGTCCCGTGTCTCGCCACGTGGGACCGTCCGTCGCGCGAACTCACGCCGCCCGCCGTCCACCGCCCCGCGGCGTCGGCCGCATGCAAACGGTCCAGTTTCACGCTCCTCGGAGCATGCGCACTTGCAGGCTGCAGCGGCTGGGGCAGGAACTGGCTCCGAGTTCGGAGAAGTTTGCCGGTGATCGTGTGTCGTAAGAGCGGTCGTTCGGCCGGCAATTATACACGCTAGGCAATCGCAGAGACGCCCATCAGGCTCAAGGCAGCCTCCCTCTCTTTCCCTCTCTCTCTCTCTCTCCTCTCTCTCTCTCTCATCTCTTCTCTCTCTCCTCCTCTCTCTCTCTCCTCTCTCTCTCTCTCTCCTCTCATCTCTCTCTCTCTCTCTCTCTCTCCTCTCTCCCCCTCTCTCTCTCGTGTCCCCAGTGTGGTGCGTGGCTCTTCCGCTGCTCTTCCAAGGCCTTCC